TAGATTCAGGCAATACACTCTTGATTTATCTGGCTCAATCCTTAACTTTTTTAAACTTCTGAATGTAATAAAATTTTGCGTCTGGGATTGTATCACCTTCATTTTTGTCTCAAGTTTTATGTTAGGACCACAAAATCAATAAAAAGGGAGGCATCCTTAAAGTACTTCTGTTCAAAATTAATTGATTTCAGAAAAACCTTAGTTTCACACTCAGGAATATTGCATTTCTCCCTTTCTTTCATTTTTGCACCCAATCAACACCGGCCAAACTTGACTATCCTTTACAGAAAGGAGGCATTTACATCAGAAAACTTTTGAGTATGTGCTATTTGCAGTTGAATGCCTCGGCCTCTGGTTGTTAGGGGGTTTTTTGGTTCCCCCCCCCCCCAATCTCTAATATGGAACACACCTCCTTAAAATTACACCTATTCAGAGCATTTTTGTGAACTAAAACTGCCTTTCATTCTGCTAGGCTTCGCATTATTCTTTTATAATAGCCGCGTAGCGTAACACATCACTAGGAACTTCCAATTCGTATACACGTTAGCTGCCAACCTCAAAAAGCCACTTTAATCACATAAAACCTGCCGCCTTCTACCCAAAATATGATATCTATTATTTAACATACTTCCCATTTGCAGCGATCAGTCTCGTAATGTCTAGTAACATATATAAATAGATCCTATTAACATGCCCAAATTCATGTTTTAATCTTCTTTTTCTGAAGCGTATATGCTCTATACACAATAGAAAATAATTTGTTATTGTTACTTGTACTAATGAGGATGCGATTGGTAATGTGCTATTTTGTACTGGAAAACTTTGTCCAGTGGTTTTGTCTTTTGAAATTGCTCCTTTGGTTTGCCATGTTCACTTGAACTTGTGATTCACTGTTCCGAGTATCACCAATGGTCCACTCCAGTGCTCTCTTGGACACCACACAGAAAGCTTTAAAGGCAGTATTACGTTAGATAAAGAAGGTGGTATTAGAATATCCAGTGAACTTGAAGAGAAAGTTAAGAAAATGTGAGTGAATAAATCAACAGGATAAGGCAAGGGGATATGCTTTAAATAGTCTATAGACAAGACTCAGTGAAAGAAAAGAATGTTTTGAACAAAGGACAGAAGAAATAGAAAAGAAGAGCATACCTTATGGTTCCATTGATAGGAACTTCTAGAATGGGCAAAAATAATCTAAAGTGATAGAAGTAAGGAAATGGTCACTCTGAGTCAGTGGGGGGTGACTACAAAGGAACAGAAAGATAGAGCCATTCGGTATCTTCATTGGCACGGGGATTGCGCAGGTGTGTATTTTCTTCCTCAAAACTGGTCAAACTCCATATGTAAAATATGTACATGTTATTATATGTAATTTATACTTCATTAGAGTAAACTGTGTAGAAGTCAAAGCACTCAGTAAAGGGTAACCATTGTGTTTGAATGGGATCAGATTTTAATCCCGAATGAAAGATGACCTCCTTCTTTTTAAATACGAAATATCTGCATCATTCCAAAGAGGTACATTACACTCTTTTGTAATGTATTCCTGCTTCTCAGGATTGAGTACTGCCATTTTTTTTTTAATTTTTTTTTTTAACGTTTATTTATGTTTGGGACAGAGAGAGACAGAGCATGAACGGGGGAGGGGCAGAGAGAGAGGGAGACACAGAATCGGAAACAGGCTCCAGGCTCCGAGCCATCAGCCCAGAGCCCTACGCGGGGCTCGAACTCACGAACCGCGAGATCGCGAGATGGTGACCTGAGCTGAAGTCGGACGCTTAACGACTGAGCCACCCAGGCAACCCAGAGTACTGCCATTTTAATGATGACGCTTAGCCACAGTAAGATAGGCATTTCTTTAATAGACATTCTACTTTAAATGCCTGTTTTTTTCCCTGTGATTTCAACCGAGGAGAAATAAAGCAGCAAACTTATCCATTAAATCTTCGCAGGATTCGTATGACTTTGAAAGCGCGATTTTGAATTGAAACGACTGTTTCATAATACTCTTTCTGCGGGTAGGCTGAAACCAAAATAACACTAATTTTTGTAGGAAAAGGAAGATAAAATCTGCCTCGGACAATCACAAAATTCCCCTTCATACCACTTTATAAGTCAGTTATAAATAGCATCAGAAGTAATAGGGTTGCACATGAGAAATTGAAAGATAGCGCACGCACTATTTTTGGAGGAGCCATTGTGTCGTGTTTGGATCAGTATGTAGAGCTAGGTTGTGGCTAGGGGCGTCTTTCCTTTTTCTCTGGAGTCGGCAGCCTACAAAGGAGAAAACTTTATCAAAGTCATGTGGGAATTTTATTTTTATTTTTATTTTTTATTTAAATTCAAGTTAACATACAGTGTTGCCACGGCTTCAGGAGTACAACCCAGTGATTCATCCCTTGTATATGACACCCACTGCTCATCCCAAAAAGTGTCCTCCTTGATGTCCATCAGCCATTTAACCCAACTGCCCACCCACCACCCCTCCAGCAACCCTCGGTTTGTTCTCTGTCTTTAAGAGTCTCTTCCGGTTGGCCTCGCTCTCTGTTTTGATCTTATTTTTCCTTCCCTTCCCCTACGTTCATCTGTTTGGTTTCTTAAATTCCACATACGAGTGAAATCGCATATCTGCCTTTCTCTGACCGACTTATTTCGCTTAGCATAGTACTCTCTAGTTCCATCCATGTTGCTGCAAATGGCAAGATTTCATTCTTTTTCATTGCTGAGTAGTATTCCATTGTGTATATGCCACATTGTTTTTATCCATTTGTCCATCGATGGACATTTGGGTTGTTTCCATAATTTGGCTATTGTTGATAGTGCTGCTCTACACGTCATGTGGGAATTTTAAAGACAACAGTTGAGTAAGGTAAAAAGAAACTTGAAATGACAGAATGCTGATGACAAAATATATCTCAGATTTATGTATAAATAACCGAAAGAAAAAGACTGAAGAGTGTGTGACAGATATAAAATCTGAATGTAAAGAATGCCATCAGTGTGGAGCAGAGGCAGATCAAGTGGGATTAAAGAGAGAGACAGAAATGGGGGGGAAAAGTTAATTTTGCCTAGGGTATTCCAGACTTTTTCAAAATTAATTAAAATTTTAGAAATGTACACGAAAATGTTGCAAACACCAGAAAAAGTATGTTTTTCAGTTGATAGGTCTGGAAGTAATTTTTTAAACTGTGAGATCGATTGTTTTTATGGAGGAGCAGAAATGCTTCATTATATCTCATTTCTCCCCCCCAAGGGAGTGTGGAAACCCGCAATAAATAAATCCTGTGTGAATAGGTAAAATTAAGTGGGAGCTACAGCAGTAGAACAGGTCATTACCATGTACTGAAATGATTTCAGGCTTTGCCGCAATTCTATGTTTCATTTTTACCATACAGACTAATAACTTGGCAATCGACTTCTTCAGCATGCAAGGAGTCTCATCATGGCTCAAAAATTACTAATTTTGTACTTCTGGGTCTGGAAATGTGCTAGGCAGAACCAGGTTTACATCCCTTTTCATGAAGAAATTATTTTTATTTACTGTAGATCCCCTACCATTTCACGAAAACACATGTTTAAGGTGATCATGTGTTCTCACATATTTATTTCATAAATCTTTGTATTATTTAGAGCTGTAAAACAGACAAGAACATTCTAGTGCAAATTTATAATATTAAATGTATTTTCCTGACATTTAGATTAAGATGGCAAAGCTTTTACCCATGTTGCTTTTCATTAATTTGAAGTCAGAACTACTCTTTATTTACTGTCATAAGGAATGAAAAATATAACAATTTGTTGGCATAGTCCATTGTCTCTTGAATGATTAAGAGGGTAGTCACATTAAATTATTTAAATTGTAGATTTAAATTTATTGCATTAATATTTTATACTATGCTTCAAATCTGTTACTTTATATTGATAAGTTTATGAGCTAATAAATTATTTTAATGTCTTCAAATAATACGATATTAATATTGCATATGTATTTTTTACAACTCTAGTCGTCTTTTCATTATTTGATTTTATTTACTTGAATGAATGGAAGAATTAGTTTTGTAGGGGAGGAAAACCTTTTCCTCTACACTGTTGGGTTCTGTTCTTGAGACCTGCAAACTAAAATGACAAGTGAGAGAATAACAGGAGAAAAAGTTTTGTTTCATATACATATGAAGCCAACAAAAAAAGCAACTGGCTTGTTTACCAGTAAAGTTAAGGACTTATATACTTAACTTGGTAGGAAAAAGGAGAAGTGAAGAACAACTTCTCTAGGAAAAGCAAATAGGTTTCTTTAGTAAAAACAAGTGGGTTTTTTAGGAGAACAGATGGGAGAGAAGTTTGTGATAATGTTTGTCTATACAGGTACCAGTGGTCTTTCCATCTACCACAGAGCTATACAATTTTGCGGAGAGGGTATTCATGGTAGCCTCATTAACCCAGACATTACAGCTTTTAGTCAGATAAAGGAAACACAGGAGGCTTTTTTTTTTTTCCTGCAATATGGTTACAGCAAATTTATCTGTCCTGCAAAAATGTAGCTGGCTAATATCTGTATTAATTTTGTTTTCAAATCTCAAAATAAACACTGTCAACCGATAGGTGCCAAATAATTGATACTGAAATGGCGATTTTTCAAATGTCATTTCCCCTCCCAGCTTCTAGTATCGTTTTTCATACCTATGGGTAAAATACCATTTAATTAATCCTCGTCTGTAATTACTTCCCGGGAAATAATGTTTTAACTTAATATTTGAATCATGATTTTGCTGGTTCATGTATAATACTTCACTGATATTTAATTTTCTCTGTTATCTGCTACACTAATGGTTGGGGCTTTTTAAAATTAACTTTATATAAATGAAACAGTCTTCTGGTGCCTTATGGGTATCAGCCTCATTACTTTTCAGTTATGCTTTATACATGGATAGTATACATAGCTATTGTAAATAACACTTTACTCCCAGAGTTCTCATTGCATTTTTCTAAACGTTTGTTTTCAGGGATATCAACCAATATCCATGAGCATCTATAGGCCAACCATCGCCATCCTTCAAAAGTAATTGTAAGTATACCCATAAACATGCTACAGCACTCTCATTTTGCAGTAATATTCAACCATTATAGTTAGGAGATTCTGCTTATTTTGGTAATGTAGACCTACCTCTGAACTAGTAAACATTTTCCACGAATGATTTCCCATATTTGAAAAAGAATATTATTTCATTGGTAAATAACATTTTAATGCAGCTTTAAAAAAAAAAAAAAAACTCAGCCCGTTCAATTACCAAATAATGTGTTAAACGGACACCCTTGCCAAAATGTTTAATCAGCACCCTGACTTTATACTAAATAAATATCAAGTAAGATAACATAAATAAGAACAACTAGGTTAGTCAAGACAAACTGTGAACTTTAATTTTTCTCCTTCAGAAACAAACTCACATCTGAGATTAGGCCATAGAAAATACAGCTATTATTTTCCTATGATAAACTTTTGAAGATATTCTTGATGGATGGACCCAAAAATCTCAGGAGGAGTATGAGGGGAGACGGAGAATTTTGTTTCTTCTTTTTTTAAATTTTTTTAAAGTTTATGTATTTTTGAGAGAGAGAACGGGAGTGGGGGAGGGCAGAGACAGAGGGAGACACAGAATCCGAAGCAGGCTCCAGGCTCTGAGCTGTCAGCACAGAGCCCGACGCGGGGCTCGAACCTACGAACCGTAAGATCATGACCTGAGCCGAAGTTAGACGCTTAACCGACTGAGCCTCCCAGGCGCCCCTGAGAATTTTGTTTCTTAAAAAGGAGTATCAGGGGGTTCCTAGGTGGCTCAGTCGGTATTCTCTAGGTTTCTTAAGCATGTTATTACAATTTAGGCAAAGTAGGTCAGAATTAGATCCCTTATTTTAAGCTCTAGACTGCACAGGGAATCCTCAATTAAATTTATGATTCTTCTAGGGGTGCCTAGGTGGCTCAATCAGTTAAGCATCTGACTCTTGATCCGTGTCCTAGGTCATGATCTGCAAGGTTTGTGAGTTCGAGTCCCCCATCAGGTTCTGTGCTAACGGTTCAGAGCCTGCTTGGAATTCTCTCTCTCCTTCTCTGTCTCTGCCCCTACCCTGCTTGTGCTCTCTTTCTCTCAAAATAAATAAATAAATTTTAAAAAATTAAAATAAATTTCTGATTGTTCTCAAAGTCATCCACATATATTTAATTCCGCACAATGTTTTTAGAATGATAGTGTTGGAGGAAGAACTGATAATGATCGTAGAGGTTAACTTGCTTTTACAGTAAAATGTTAACAGACTCTTTCAGTATAAAATTAATATATACCCATTACATAAAAATTAAATAAAAGAAGAAAACAGTGATTTTACATCAAAGTAGTTGCATCAAAATGGCTGCATTAAAATGTACCATAGTCAGAATGGTCAATATCAAATTGTCCTGCTTTGTGATTTGATGACTCACCATTTAACATGATGACAAAGGTTCCACTGCCTTTGTTTAAGATGTATTGAAGAAACTCTTGGTGCTATATAGCCAGGTTTCCATAAAAGAAACATGAAATTCAAAAAGCGTAAGACGTAAAATCTTAAAGAGCCCCAGCAGCTGTCCTGAGAGTGCACACAAGAAGTCACTCAGTGTACTTTTGTGAAAATCCAAGTTTTCCCACAGATGTTTTCACTACGTTGGTGAAACAGGCTAACGTGGACAGGCAGGTAAGTTTACACTCTCAAGCTTCAAACCGTGTTCACTCACACAAGGCCACCTCGTCTCTATCAACGGCAACAGAAGCCCTACGGGGTGGTAAAGACCAAGGTCAGCCTTAGTAGAATATGACGTAAGCCAGTTTCACCTGCAGTACGCCCCTTTGGACACACGCCTGTTGACACCTTGTTCTTACCCAGCTGTTAACTGGAAGAGAGATTTGATATACAAATTCATGCCAGAGTGGCAATATCTAACAAGTCCTACCCCATCCAGAGAGGGGCACATTTTAACATCGAAAATGGGACTCCAACAAATCCCTTGATTGGCTAAAAGAGAAAATACACCCCAAATGTCATCACGTTGGTATATAAGCTTGTTGCCTACTTCGCTTCTCCAAAAGGCTGGCCTCCTCAGGGCATATTAGTGACACGAAAAATAGATATGCAACCTACTTAATATAAAACCTTAGACTCTGGTTATTTATGGTAAAGAATTTTGTTATTGTCACTAAATATGTTCATTCTCACTGTATGTAGAAGAGTACTAAAAGTTTTGTGATAATGTACATACATCCACAACTTGATATTCTTTGAGGTTTTGATATGGGGGTCCCTGGTGATTTCTAGCTATTTTAAGCTATATGAGATTCCACCGATTTTTGAAAATAAAAGGCAATTGACCTGATTGGTCTCCAGCTATCACTCAAACTTAGTAACACCTACTCTGAAGCCTTACTTAATGCTACCTATGGGCTACTATGAGATATATATATATATATAGTTATTATATATATATCATATATAGTTATTATATATCATATATATCACAGTGAAGGTAATATGTATCAGATATATATATGTCTGATATGTATGATACATATATATGTCTGATATAATATGTATCAGATATATATATATGATGTATCAGATATATACATGTCATATATATATATATGTATCAGATATATATATCAGATATATATCACAGTGAAGATAATAATTTAGGAAATGTGTTCAATGTCTCCTGCGAAAAATAATCAGTTGGACACTGTGCTCCCTCCTGAGCTGTATAAGGTTTGTAATATTAGTAAGTATTAAAGGTAAATATTATCTTTTTTTCTGTAAAACCATATCACCATTTAAAGTTTCTTCACAGAAAGTGAAGAAATGATGTACATACATTCCTTCTACAATGTCACGACGGATCTATACTTGTCCCTTTCTTGACATCTATATTAACACCTATACTTAAGAATGAAATTCACACCTACGTGAACACCTATATTTAAGAATTGTATCTTTCAAACTTTTGACTAGGTGACTCTGTGTTGTGATAAATAAATACAAGTTCACATAACGGAAGGATTTTTTTGCAGTGTAAGTTCTCTGATATATAACTGAGTATTATTATAAAGTTGTTTTGGTTACCAAATGACTTAAAGGAAGACATAAGTAGACGCTAACAAAAATCAGCTATTACCTACGTACATCTTATTGTTCTTCAGCTCTTCATTTGGTTAAAGGAAATGAAACATAATCAAAACTCATGAAAGGGTACAGAATTGAGTATTAAAATGTTGTGTGTTCCATGAGTAGAATATGCCTTTTATACCACCTACAGGAACCAACATGGTGTCTTGTACATAATATGCATTTAATGATATATTCAATAATTAGTGCAATAGTAACTATTGAACTAGTAGTGATAAAATAATAGCACCTTGGGAATAGATACTCAGTCAGGCATGCCTTTCAGTAGTGAATATATATACATATTTAGAGCATAAGAAAACCTAAACCTTTATAAGATAATTCCACATTCCTCACAATTTTTACTTGTACTAATATTCCAAAAATTGAAGTAGTCTTTTATAATAATCAATAGAACTAAAAAACATGGCTTTAACTGAGTGAAGAAATATTTATTGATTTCAATAATCCAATTGAGCCAACTGATAACTTGAAAAACTACATACCACACATATTTTTCACTCTGACTAGTCTGCACCCAAAGCCAACAAGGCTGGCAACGTGGTTCAGAATGTGCCCGTGCTAAAATGTTCCAACTTCTCAAAATAAGCAAAAATCACTTTATTTTGGAAAGCTCAGCAGCCTAGCAGTTTCAAGGTACAGTTGCATGGCCATTCACACTAGATCATAGCAGCGAAATAATTTTATATGTACATTTTCTGATTTTGAACATACACCTTTCAAAGCTATGCTTGTACTTCTAAATTTTGCATTTTCAAAACATTCATATCTCCCGAAATATCAAATATGGGTGTAACTTTCTTTTAAACATGGGCGTAACTTAAGGAACTGCAACAATTAAATTAATACATGTGGTATAAGAGGCCGTCGGGATCAAGGAGTTTATGACGTAGAGAATGTTGATTTCGTATTTATTAGTCTTAAGTACATATTGCTATCATTTTAGAAATGGCACATATTACCTTCCCAAAAGGTACAGATATTTTAATGAGGCAGAAGTTGTTACGCGTTGTATGAAATGCACATGTGCATATTTGCATCATGTTTCTATCACATTTTACTCTCGTTTAAAAATTAAACCTATGACCCAGACAAATAACACATGGTATATGAGAGCTTGCTAACAGTCGCTTTCTGAAATATTCTCTCTTCGTACCTCTAGGCATCATTGTTCATTTAGCTTTCTCAAAACTAAGTATCTTCATTTGTATCTTTAGAGACAAATAAAAACTGATAGTAAGCTTATACAAAGATACTAATAAAATGTGAAAAGCGAATCACGTATTTGTGGTATGTTCGTTAAAACTCTATTATATCAATTAAAATCTCTATGTAATTAATTGTCTTTCCATGGAGTGTTCGTATTGACTTCATAGGGTTTTGATTATATGAGAATATACTCTCCACGTGTTGCAAGGTTCTTAACATCATTGCCAATGACACTGTCATCTAGACGGTTGGGTTGGGCAAGAAACTGTCAGTCATCCTTGAACATCTTCCTGTCCTTTATGCCCCATAACCAATTTCATCACCAACTCCTGGCAACTTTAGCTTCTGAATATCTTCACTCCATTTCTAGCATCCTTATACTGGGTTTGGTTTGTCCATCACTTTCTTGTCTGAGTACAGGAACACCCTTCGAAATGATTGCCCCAATTACACATTTGCACTCCCAAATCCCATCCTCCCTATTCTTAGTGCTCTCAGAATAAATACCAAAATCTTTGTTATGGGTTGTAAGAGAACCTAATCTGACCCCTGTCGACATCTTCAGTGCCATAGTTTACCCTCTTCCCTCACCTCCCTCATGAATGCTTCGGCTACAACTGTCTACTTTCAGTTCCTTGAACACATCATGCT